TTCCATCCGCGGTGCCATCGGTGCTCTCGCCACAAAAGGTGCCGGCTTCGACACGCTGTTTCCCGGTCTCAATCACACTCTCTTGGTGTCGGACAAGGTCCTTCGTGCCCCGCTACTGCGCGAGTACGCCCTCTCTTTGGGTATCGGCAGCGTCAGTCGCGCGTCATGCATTAAGTTACTCTCATCCGGCGGCCACGATGGCAACGGACTGGGGCAGGCGATCACCATCTGCGTGGGTGGCGATCGCGAGGCGCGCATCGCCCGTCCTGGCCGCATGGATTTGGTGCTGGGGGTGCGCAGGGGGTTCATTCGCGTTGCGATCGAGATGGGGGCGAGCCTAGTGCCGGTGATGGCGTTTGGAGAGAACGAGGTTTTTGACGTGGCGTATCCCGAGGATGGTGATGCGAACAGGAGTGAGGCAGCGTCGAGCCAACGGGAGGGTGAAGGCGAGAAGCAGCAGGACGGCGGCCGTGGAGGCCTATTTGCGGCAGGTGCGAGAGCCTGGAAGGTTATCACCGGCAAGTCGACACGTGTGATCAGCGGACGATGGGGGGTGACGGTCCCGTTTCGCAAGCCGATTCATGTGGTCGTCGGGAAACCGATCCCGGTCAAGGAGCAGCGATATGTGCAGGACGAGGCTTACGTGGAGGAAGTGCATCGGATGTATGTGAAAGAGTTGCGGCGGTTGTGGGAGGAGTGGAGGGATGTCTTCGGGGTGAAGAAAGAGGTGCGGTTTGAGATCGTGCAGTGATTTTGTTAGTGGTGTGTTGGGCGTCCTTCTCCTTGAGGTATCATTCAGTAGGGTTCGGAAATGGATGACGAAAAGTTACATAGCTATGGTGTGCTTGATATTGTTTAATATTACAGTGTTTCCTTGACTTGCGCTTCTGTACGCAGCGCTTGTGCATGCAACAATGAACAGAGTAGGTATACGAGACTCGATTTGTCTAAAGGGTGAATTACGAGCTAAGGAAATATGTCTTCAAGCATGATAGTCGTTCATAAACCTAACTTTTGACAGGACGACGAAAAAAGAAAAAACACAGCGAACCAAATTCATGACTAGGATATCTGATGAGGTGGAAAGGACCCCAAAATCTACTCCTCATCCTCCTCGGCGGCCTCCTGCTCCTCGGCAGCGACCTCCTCGTCCTCCTCGAAGGTGGTGGGGGGCACGCTGTAGAGACGGAGGACGGGGCGGTTGGGGTCCTTGATGAGAACGTACTTCTTGACCTTGTCCTCGTCCTCGTCAGCGTCGAGGGCGCGGATGCGGTCGACAATGGTGCGGACGATGCCCCAGCCGTTGCCGAGGTTGAGGTTCATCTGGGTGGCGAGGTCGCGGGGCTTGTAGCCGACGACGCCGAGGACGACATGGGCGGCGGCGGAGCGGGGGTTGGCGCGGGAGACGAAGCCGAGCTTCATGGCGTCGGCCTTGGCGAGGATGGCCTGGGTGGTCCAGCGGGCGAGCTTGGAGGAGTTGTTCTTCATCTCGGTGGCGACGACGGCACCGCGCTGGGACCAGAGCTTGGAGCGCCAGTCGAGGGCGCCGCCGGAGCCCTGGGCCTTGCTGTCGAACTCGTTGAGGGCCTTGACGACCAGCTGCTGGTCCTCGCCGCCAGTGGGGTTCTTCATAATGGCGTCGATCTCCGTGCGCACGATCATGTGCACGGGCTCCTGGCCCTCGTCGCGCTCCAGCGACAGGTCGAAGCGCCGGTACTTGTAGCCCTTGGAGGCCAGGGGCTCGGTCTCCTCGGCCGCGTTGTAGAAGGGGTTGGGGTGCGCCAGCTCGACCTTGCTCTCGTCGGATTCAACCACCGTCTGCAGGGCGAAGTTGTGGTTGATGAAAGTGGCCTCGAGGGCGAGGGCGCTGGGCGTGTTGATCGCGGCGCCCTCCTGCTTGCTGGCGGCGGCGGCGGTGGCGGCGGAGGAGTCGGCCAGCTCGAGCGGCGCGTCGGCCGCGTTCTCGTTGACCGTCACCAGGTCCAGGGAGGCGCCGTCGCGCTTGTCGAAGTAGATCTTGCCGCCCTGGTGGACGATGACCAGATCCCACGAGTAGACGCTGCGGGGCGCGCACATCAGCGTCGACAGGATGTCGGCCGACGCGAACACGGTCGCCTCGTTCTTCTCGGCCAGCTCCTGGATGACCGGGTCCTGCGAGGTCGTGACGTTGTACGCGGCGCGGTCGAGCGCCTGCAGGCGGCGCTCGGCGTTCTTGACGGGCGCCTTGTCGTACGACCGGTCGTAGTAGTACATGAATCCGTACGAGTCGACCTCCTCGCCCTCGGGCGCCTCCATGTTCAGCTTCGACAGACGGCTGAAGTCCACCTCCTCCAGCATCGTCCAGTCGGGCCGCACGGCCACCGACGCCTCGCGCGTGCGCTGCGGCTTGTCGTAGTCCTTCCATCCGAAGCGACGGCCCCGGTTGCCCCGCCCGCCGCTGCGGTTGTCGTAGTACCGGTCCCCGCCGGCGCCGCCCCGGCCACCGGCACCACCGCCCACGCGCTGGAAGCCCGCACGTCCGCCACGCTGGGCACCGCCGCGCTGGGCCCGGCCGCGGAACACCGTGCCGCCGCCGCGGCCGAAGGTGCGCTTCGTCGAGCTGCGGGTGTTGTCGACCACGGAGAAGGAGGATTCGTCTTCGGCGACGGCCACGGAGAACAGGCTGGAGGATCCAGCGCCGTAGACTTGCTGGTCTGGAGGTTTGAACGGGGGTGTTAGTTTGTGGTCTACACGATCCTTCTCCTTTTTCTTTGTCCTTGCAGAGAGGGAAGATACGGAAAGGAGGAAGCGTGCAACGTACCTCTGAAGTTACGGTTATAAGCCTGACGACCGCCCCGGTTGGGGTCCTTAGACTCAGCCGTCCAGTCGGCCATGCGGCCTAGCTTGTCACCCTTGGAGAAAGGAGCATAGGGGACGCCGTCGAGCATGTTGTCGGCGGCGGAGGCGGGGCCCCAGGTGTCGTCGGCCGGCAGGGCGGCGACGATGTCGGCGATAGAGATGGGAGCCATGATTATGCGTAGAGCTCTGTGTGGGGGGGGGGGAGAAAATATCAAAGGGGAGATGACAGAAATAGACGACCCAGCGAGATAGGAGAGGTGGTGGTCTGGGGGAGGGGCTGGTCGGTCAACGGATATTGAAACGAGATCGACTTTGCCAATTCGAGGGAATTTTTGTGTCGCGAGTTTGTGGCGGGTGGAGGCTTGGCATGTGGCTGGTGTAGAGGCACCGCCACGGCGGATTTGTGTACATTGGGTGTCTCGTGCTGAGTCACTAGTGTGCATAGCTTATCGGGCTGCTATCAGCTTGGCGGGCTTGATGCTAATGCTTCCATGTTGGCCCTCAAATGTAGACTATACTGCTATTTGTCATGGCCTCGCTTATCTGACTGAATATGTGTAATTGTTGCCCCAAGCATTTGAAATGGGTTCCAAGCTGATAACTATGCAGATCATTCTTCTGGGATCATTGCGGAGTCGAAGTGTGTCCGCCAAACCCAGCGGAGACTACTTGGGGATGGTGCGTGATGAGTTCGAGATGCTCAAGGATCGACTATTAGGATTATTGGATCGGCACGGTAGTTCTCTATTTACCTCAGTATTTCTGAGACAAGCGAGGCTGCTCAATACTCACACTTTCTGGAGCTGCAGCTAAATTAAACTATGCATGACCGCATCGCAGATCGGTGCCATAACATTGAGCAAGACTAGTCATCTTGTTCAGCAAAGATCGTCGACCCTCTTATCAATGCAAGGCTACGATGTACAACTGTCACCCTCACAAGCAGCGCAGATCCAAATCTGCAGCACCACTCACATGTATTGTTATCATTCTCCTCGATGTTCAGCTACTGTGGGTACGTCCGCTGATTTGGTACCAGAAAAACACCGGTCCGGGTGGCTGATAAGACAGGGACGGATGACAGGTCCGATGCCACTCGCCTCAATTTTGAGATTGCCTTTTACCTGGTCCCTCGGTACCTGCAGCATGGCCCTCTTTGCCAGGTCTCGCTGTTCATCCTGGATCGACTGTGATTGTCGCGTTGCCACCACTGCAATGGCCGGCCTCTGTCCTCGGCGAATTGTCCTTTGCATGGAGATTGGCTGAGGACTGGATTTTGAGACTTCTTCCATCCGGATGTCCGACTGCGATAACGGAGGATACAGTATTGTGTACCAGTTATTGAGATGCTGTATACCTAGGTGATTCTCCCGAGTCGCAGTCCTCCTCTCAAGATAAATAGCACGTTCCATCCCAGCTCGTCAAGATTTCAACACAATCAAACTACAAGCCTCTCTCTCACTGCAAGCCATACATCCTTATAATCACACAACCAAACTACAGTTACTACTGCAACCATGAAGCTCTCCCTCACCGTCTCTACCCTGGCCATCGCCGGTCTCGTCGCCGCCGTGCCCGCCCTCCAGTCCGACACGCAGACCCTCGAGAACCAAGTCAAGGGTGTCGCCGCTCAGACCACCTCTACCACGAGCGAGAGCACGGTCGACCAGTCGCAGTGCATCGCCTCGGTGCTGTGCTGCGGCACCTTGACCACTCCCTTGGACCCACTCCTGGACCCCATCCTTGCGGATCTGGACATCAACGCTGGCAGTATTGTCGGCTCCGTTGGTCTTCTCTGTACGTCCATTGCTACTTAATTTGTCATTGCCGATGCTAACGCTATGGGCATAGGCAAGCCTTACGACACCACCTGTACAACGAAGCCGCAGTGCTGCTCCGAGGTGAACCTCTTGGTGAGTCTTTCCCGTCACAGCCCAGTGACGAAGTATACTAACATAAAGCAGAACGGTGTTTTGGCACTGGGCTGCTCCGCTCTGGCGCAATAGTCCCCATTTCAATCCGGAGTCCGCAGCATGCATGTCACACCTAATAATACCGGGGGATCCATACCCTCCACATCTGTTCTTTAGTATAATAGCCAATGATATATACTTTATTCAGCCCAACTTCGCCCCTACCTCTTCACTCCCCCGCTTGTCGAACTAATAAGACAACCCCACCAACTCCCCCGAGTGACTCCTCTCAAAAGGAAACACCCTCTCCACCTCCCTCACCAACGCAGCATGCGCCTCACTCCTCGCCTCGACCCTCAGCCCCGCCGGCACGACCGGATGACTGATCACGCCCGGCCGAAACTCAGGCGTCCAGTCCGCGTTCTCCGGCCCCTGAATGCGAAATACCGTTAGCGCCTGCGCGATCGTCAGGTACACGTTCGTATCCGCCAGGGTCCGCCCGGGGCAGACTCTCCGCCCGAACCCGAAGACCAGGAGGTGGGGGTCTCGTTGGACATCAGCAGCAGTAGTAGTAGCAGCAGCAGCACCACCACCACCACCACCACTGTCACCATTGATCAAAGAAGACGAAGGCAGGAACCGCTCCGGCCTAAAAGCCTCCGGATCAGGATACACATCCGGATCGTGGGTGAATGCCCTACCCATCCCTCACATTAGCATACGACCCATGCACCCACCAACCTACCACCCCTTTCTCTTCCCTCCCAGCTCTCAAAACTCCCCAGCCAAGGAAGAGAAGAACAAACCAGATATTCGCCAGAACTGACGCCCCCTTGGGGATCCAATACCCCTCATACTCATCCTCCTGGGTCACCACATGCGAGATATCCATAGGCACGACGGGATGCCACCGGAAGACCTCCTTGATGAGGGCATTGATGTAGGGCAGGTTCTCGCGGTCGGCGAAGGTGGGCAGCCGACCCGCCGCGCCGAGGACCATGTCAAGTTCGGCCTGGGCTTTGCGCTGCACGGCCGGGAAGAGGGCCATGGCGAGGAAGAAGGTGGCGATGGAGGAGACGGTCTTTACCCCTAGCTTAGAAACCTGGGTTGGTAAGTTCTAGGGAAGGGAAATTGAACGTACGGTATCCGCCCCACCGGCATACAGCGACGCCGCCGACCATTTGACTGTGACCTCGGCCTCGGAACCGCGGGGCAGGGGCAGCGCGGGCTGGTGCTGCAGCAGGTTGGACAGGAAGGACGGCGTGTATTCTGTGTCGCGGTGCATCTGGTGCTGCACGAACGCGTAGGGGAGGTCGCTGAAGGCCGTGACGGTTTTCTTGTATCCGCGCGCGGTGCGGATGAAGCTGGCCCCGGGAAACCAGGCGGGGAGGTGTCTCACTACCCACAGTTGATCAGAACATCCACACCAAGCCACAACGCCAAGGAGAAGGGCACGCACAGAACGGGAGATAATCCACCAAGTACGTCGCCGGCAACATCGCCACCGAGAAATCCTCCATCGCGCGATCGGCCAACTCGACTAGCGGGTCCCGGCCGTGCGGCTCGACCGTATACCCGTATCCGACCTTGAGGATGATGGCGCCGGTTTCTCTGGAGCTTGAGTTTAGTTTCACCTTCCTGTTTTTGGTCCGTTTCAATTGGGGTTGATTAAAGGCAGTAGCCTATGTTAGGGGAGGGGTTGGGAGCTGGCTCACTTGCGAATATGCTCCATCAATCGCCCCGGCGCCTCCAGCACGCGCATCAGAAACCTCCCCACCTCCGCGGTCTGCACCGCATCGAACCGGGCCACCGACTTGTTCGACCCGATCTCCTGGTGCAGGTTCTTGCGGGTTGCACGGAAGCGGTCGGTGCTTTTCACGGAGCCGAGCACGTTGTGCCAGCCGGACCTGGTTTCGCTTGTCAGCTCGATGAATCAGTGCAGGTGGAACTGCAAGTGGAAAGACGGGAGAACACGCACATCTCGGCGAAATTCTGCTGCGGGCGGGAGGAGTAGATCGCCGAGCGCTTCTCCAGCAGGTCGACTGCGTGGCGCGCCTCGTTGAGGATGATGATGGTTTGGCCGAGGACGCTGAGGGAGCTGATGGGGCCTTTTTTGGGGGGGTGTCAGGATGGAGCGGGCAGTTCAGTTTTTGGGGGCAGGTAACCATACCATAGAGCTCCTTATGCTTGAGCCAATGTTTCCAGTCCTGTTGGCCGGGGCGAGGGAGGTCGTTGAGATTGCCGATGATGGGTTGGCGGGGAGGGCCCGGAGGCAGAGGCGGGTGCTTTTTCCGCGATGTTAGGGTTATGGTTAGGTAGCCTGCTAGAAGGAGGAGGGCGGCGAGGAGAGCGGAGAGCATGGTGTGGGAGCATCAAAGTGATGTGTTGGAATGATCGATTCATGGCTATGCTAGGGGGGGAGAACCGTTGTCTTATATTATATTGCTCATATCATTCATGTGAAATCATTGAAAGAGGGGTTCTGCAGCTGAGAACTTATTGCAGACTGAATCCTCCGACCGGTGGGATTGATTGGTGTGCAAGGCGTAACCGTGCATGAGGGTTACCAGGGTGTGCGGTCCGGATGAGGATATCATCGGCAGCTACATAGATTACGGCCGTTGCTGCGCGATGTGATTGGTTTGGGGGTATGCTGCTGTATAGAAGTAGTCAATGATCACTTAGTAATGTGAGACTCATTGATGGTGGAGGGTTGATCTGGTAGTTCTACGATTTCCTGAGTTGACGATAACAGAAAGGCCTCATCCTCGGAAGATAATTCCAGTCCAGCCTTGGCATGCATGCATCCATCTCCCTCAGGCCATCTACCTTCTGCAATCACCAAATCCAAATCCAAATCACAAATACTCCCCAAACCACGCCACCGCCTGCGCAAACGCCTGCTCCTTCGCAAACCGCGCCCGCTGCACCTTGGGATCCCCGCGCACCGCAAACCCATGCTCCACGTCGGAGTACACACTAATCTGCCAGGCCTGATCCTTCTTGCCCAGGATCTCCTCGCTCTCGCGTCTCTTCTCCGCAGGGAAGATCGGGTCATGTTCTGTCCAGAAAAACCCCATCTCATTAGCACGCGTTTCTCTCCTCGCCATTCCTGGCCTGCCTAAAGGCTTTCCCCAAACCCTCATCCCCCCAAAACCAAAAAGAAAAAAACTCACGAGCAGCAGCAATACACAACGGCCCCTCCACGCCCGCCAACTCCTCAGGCGTCATCATCGTCGGATGCGCCGTAAACCCCACATCCAACCCGCCCTCCGCCCTGGACTTCAACAACCGGGCCACATACTTCCCGCCGAAACAATACCCGACCCCGCCGACCCGCTCACACCCCAATGTCGAGCGAATATACGCGAGGACGGTGTGGATGATGGGATCGGTGTGCTGCGGCTGGTGGCCCTTCGCCCACTCCATGATCTGGAAGCCCTCGGGGCGGTTGAGGGGGACGCTGTCGCCGGCGAAGAGGTCGGGCATGATCACGGCATAACCGGCGGCGGCGAATTGGTCGGCGATGAGTTGGGCATTCACGAAGCGGTGGCCGATTACGTCGGTGAGGAGGAGGATTGCTTTTTTGGTGTCGGTGGGGGGGTGGGTGATGTAGGTTGAGACTGTTGAGGGTGAGGATTTTGTTCTGTTAGGGGGGAGGGATTTGCTGAGGGAGGTTGGGGGGAGGAGGCTGCGTACTGTTCTCAATGTCTTGGATTGTACCCTTGGGTTCGCCTTCGTGGAGGGTACCCGTTATGCAGCATGTTGAGAGGTTGTGGGAGGTCATCTTGGGGGACTTGGGGGGTGGAGAGAAGTACACTGATCATGGATTTTGGGGAGGAATTGAGGAGGAGGTGAAGATATAAGTACCACAAAAACAAGGAGGGGCAGATGGGGCTCGGGGTTATCTTGCAAATGAATCCCTGTTACCTCCGGAGGATTCAAGTCCTATGTCCGAATTGGGAGATTAGGGGCGTGGTTAGCGCCCGGCTGGACGGACATAACAGCTCCCACTGGCATGGAGATAAAAAGCTTTGCTTGGGAGATCTTACTCTATCTCTAGCGTAACATGGTATATGAGGCCGTCAGCGCTAGTCTGGGAATCTGACATCGGTATCGTTTGCGGTTAGTCCCGCGATGGCGGGTTGCACGCCGTTGGGCGGTGGCTCGTGTTGCTTCGCGCTGCATACGCGACATCTCTTACCCTGGGTATCAAAGGTTCGTTCCTACAGCCCAAGCAAGCAAGAAACAATATGTTCAATGCGATGAATGACAAGAAGTAGAACACGCTATATACTATGCAACAGAAAGCGACCAACATGTACACATTATCGTCAAGCAAAGGCGCAGTCGACGGCTCCACTAACCCTAACAGATCATCTCCTCACTGGTAGAGACTCGGGTACGCAGCCTTGACCATATCCGCACCCTAAAGCAGTCAGCATCAATTCGGAATTCCTCGGGATCATTACTCACCTTCTCTCCAATCATATACACCGCGTTCTGGATGCGACAGTCCGGAATGATCGGGATGATAGATGCATCGATCACCCGAAGACGTTTGACGCCATGCACGCGCAATTCCGAGTCCACCACACCCTGCTCGATGGACCGGGAAAGCCGGGCTGTACCACAAGGGTCTATCAACGCGTTAGCCAGGGGTTTATTCATCCAGAGGAAGAATGACTCACGATATCCAGTCTGCGAGTGCTCGAGAATCATCTTCTTCATCGCCTCGTCCGATTGTCGCGGCATGGGCCAGGGGTAATCCTCCCCGATTACGTCCTTCATGCCCTCGCCGTGCATCAGGATCTCGTCCACGAACCGGACACCCTCTCTCAGCGCGATGATGTCGAGATCGTTCGAGAAGAAGTTCAGGTTGATGTTGGGCTGGTCGCGCGGGTCGGCGGAGTTCAGCTTCACCTCGCCGTTGCGGGAGAGTGGGCGGAGAAGGTCGACGATGACCGTCAGCCAGTCACCCTCGGTGGGCACGGGGAAGTGCCATTGAAAGGCATCGGAGAACATGGGCTTCGTCATTGTTAGAATATCGCTTCCACAAGCTTTATCCCTGATAAGAATACGTACCACAAAGTCGATCTCAAAATGCGGCTGTCCCTCAGGGCCGAACGGGTCCTTGCCACCGTTCTGCTCCTTCGCTTCCCGATACTCCTGGTATCTCTCCAAGCGGTCGTCAATGCGAGGTAGTCCCACCAGCTCTAGCAGACCGCTGCTGTAAGGGCCCTGCCTGCTCTCGCGGTACTTCTGCACGGCGGCGGTGTGCGCCGGCCCAGCACGGAGCAGATGGCTATCCAGCCCCATGCCCCCCTTCAGACGGAACACATGCGGCATGATCGGATGGTCGAGGAGGTTCTGGCCTACGTGCTCCGAGTGGACCACGGGCTTGATGCCATGGCGCACGAGTTCCTTCTTGGGGCCAAGGCCCGACAGCATCAACAGCTTAGGGGTCTCAAAGACGCCGCACGCGACAATGACTTCCCGCTTGGCCTCGATGATGATTTCCGACCCGTCCGGTCCCAGCACGGTGACGCTCACGGCGGTGTCGCCGTCAAAGTTGATCTTCTTGGCGATGCACGAGGGCATAATAACCACGTTGGTCTTGCCGGTCAGGTACGCGCCACTGGACGATCGCTCGCCCTGGTAGATGCTGGTGACGCAGTGCGTGAGCCCCTCCATCTTTCCGGAGTAGATGTCCTCGCTGACGGGCTGGCCCGCGCTGGTCCAGGCCGTGGTGAGTGCGTCGCGGAAGGGCTGCAGCTCGGGGACTAGGTCTGCGTGCGAGACGTGCACCGGTCCGTCGCGGCCGATCTTGGCCAGTTCGTTGGGATACAGGTTGTCATCATCGTGGTATGTCGCTGGCTGTGTTGAATCGATTTAATTAGTACCAAATCGTGTTTGTTGCACACAATGTATGTGGTGTTGAGGATAGACTCCCGCACCTTGCTGAAATACTCCTTGCACCCATCCCACGTCCACGACGGACCTCCGTACTCGGACCATGCGTCAAAGGTGCCCTTGCTACCTGGGATCCAGGTATAGTAGTTCAAGCAGCTACTACCTCCAAGGACCTTGCCGCGGGTGTTGGGCTTCTCGGCGCGTTCGTAGGAAGGCCTGTTAATCATGGTCGTTTTGTAGGCCCAGTCATGCTTGCTGCCACGCAGGTCGAAGGCGGTAGCTGGGGTGGTGATTTTCTCGATGTCTTGAGGGTTTCTATCGCCTCGTTTGCTTTTAGTTGGATGTTTTACTCATACTGTGCTTGGTGAGGGGGGGGGGTCACATACGCGATACCCGCTTCAATTACCAGAACCCGGACCTCGGGGTTCTCGGCCAGTCGACCAGCCACCACATTGCCGGCAGTACCTCCTAGTCGGATGTCAGAGAAAGACTAACCAAGGAAGGGATGAGTGCAACATACCGCCGACAACCACAAAATCGAAGCTATCCGCGCTAGGAACTGTCATTATGCTCGTTGCAATGGGGTTACGATGCGATTAGTTATTAAGAGTGAGAGCTGAGATAGTGCTCCTTTATGAACTGAAGCCCCCAGAAACAGCCAAAACTGCCTCTATATAGCAACCGTCAAGCCCACGAAGCCCATCGCAAACACCAGAATGCCATCGCCATGACGTATGGAAGATGACCCACCTGCCAGCCGTTTCACCAGCCCCACTCGGGAGGTGCCAAGATTTTCGCACTCATGCCCTGACGAACAGGGCTGGAGCTTTTCAGGGGATAAGGTCAAATGCCGAATTATCTCCAAGAAATAAGTCTCCGAACGGGCTTGCAACGCGCCGTTGACGGGCTGCGAAGGCTCCACGAGTGGAGGCACGGGCCAGAATACGGCCGCGCTATCAGCAGGGTGGGATCGTCGGAAGGGTCGGAAACAGAATTGCTTGTTTTGACCTGTGGCGGGTGCTATTTATAATTAGTCGATGGTAGACGCCATTGAGATTTCATGCATCATCATCATCATCTCCCCTTGTACTCTGTAAGTTTTGTGGACAATGTTGACGTTGACCGGTTGCGGGGTGGGGTTCAATCGACGCGAGCAATCGCCGAGGCTCAGCCGGGTTGAAGCCTGGAAGACAAGCTTTATCACTGCCAGGGTCGATAATTTAGAATTGTGAGGGACCTAGGGTAAAGGTTCTAGAACGGAGTTTGTCCCTGGCCAGGGCCTCCTCGCTGGAGCTTGACACTCTCATTGTGCGCTCGTTGAACATAGGCTAGCCCGGTAGGTTGCGTATCGCAAGAACTGATGGTGACACGGGTAAGGAAAGCCGGGGGCGATGCATAGGCAATGGTAGGCGATAGAGTGGCTAACAGCCAGGTCAGATTAGGTTAAACTATACAGCGTTGTTTTCTGAACTTAGAACCGCTTAAAACTGTAGGGGACTACAGTGCGGTTCTGGATGATATCAGCAAAGACTCAAGAACGCATAGTCCGGCCCGGATTTGAATTTTGGGACTGGGACCGCACAACTCCTAGGCCTAGTCGGTCCTACTTGCAGACGAAAAAACATTGTTAGGCAAAATATAGCTTCTCAGGAAGGCAGCTTGGATCTCGTAGGTCGGGGAGAGCGAGGCCGGGGGCGAATGGAATGTTTCTTGCACAATGACAAGTCAATCACATGTGCTAGTGTGGTCTGGGCGAAAAGAAGTTCCGGACACGAAACCCCTCGAAATTCTTGAAGTAGAGTCTGAAAGGGTTCAAAACGGGAACGGATGTTTTTACAAAGCATGCTAAAAAGGGTTTGAAAAAGGGGGACTGCTGTGCTCGCTGGAGGGGTGTCCTTACTCTATCTTTTTTGATCCTATCCTGCAAGCACAGTGGTGACGTATGTCACGCGTGGTCCAGCGTAGCCAGCGTGGCTGGTCAGCTAGTGTGGCTCAAGGATCGATTGTGGATGGTGTGAATTGGGACAGATGTTTTAATCTGTTGATGCGCAATAGTCTAAAACGACCCGAAGGATTTGTGAAATCCCTCAAAGAAATTCCCAGGACAAAGGTTGAACATGCGGCATGGACAGATTCTGGTCCCATCGGGTGTCTTAATTTGTTCTGAAAAGATAAAATAAAACAAAGGTTGAGTACATGGTGATCATTCCGTTCAGGGATAAAGTCCTCAAGGGGAGTTTCCAAAATGAGAATCCAAAATGTTGAAGCCCATTATAGTTTATCTAGAGACTGCAATAAAACTGCGAGCCCCCTGCTAGCCCCCTGCTTCACTTCTTGATATTTGCTACCGCAGCAGCAAAATCCTCGGTCACTTTCTCTCCGTGGCTCCAACCTGGGGACAAGTGATGACGAACGATTTTCCATTCCTCCTTCAGTCGACGAAAATGTAAATTGTAAACCCCGCCTTTTGCGCAATATTGAAAGGGTGCCTCCAAATCCGGACAGCCGTAGAATGTGAACAGTGAAGTTGCTTTCGCCTCATCAGGGCTAATTACTTCAATGCTCATGTTCGAGAGGCTGTGTTCCTGGTACGCGAAAATCTTCTCGGCAGATGTAGCCTTGGCGATATTGGCTGGCCCTTGAATTGGACCCCAAGGACCGTATTCCATTATCCCATCTTCAGCAAACATATTTCCAAATGCCTCCCAATCGTGTTCATCGCACACTTTGCAGTAACGGCACATGAATGTCCAGATGGCATCTTTGACTTCCAGCGTGGATAGTCGACGGTTCAATTCCTGCAAGACCTGCTGTATCTCGGCCATGTCAAAAATGATGAGCGGAAGTGATCAAGCTGCACGCAAAGGGTGAAATGAAAGGTCGGATCACACAGGGTAGGGGCCCGGAAAGTACTGCGAAGGTAAATTAGGATGAGGAACGGTATTTTGATCTGCGAAGAGCAGTAGTGGATTTATATGGGTGGTGGTGGTTTTCCTATCAGCCCTATGGAATGCCGGCCGACCGGGCCGGCTAATTACTCTCCCATCTTGAAAGTACTGTGATATAACCGCCCCCCTGGTTACGCAATTCCAAGCCTTTTGAGACCCACTTGTAGAAAGTAGCTAACCAATGCAGCTTAGCTGTAATCTAGAAAATACAGCAATCCGCAGATTTTTTGAACCTCACACGGCTAAGGAGGAAAGAGGAAACGCGGTCCCACATCATGGGTAGGCGCTCAGGAAGGTGCATATATTGATCACAAATTCCACAATCGGAAGTATCGCAGCTTTTGGGCAATACTCCGTCGAACGTACCATTGGCCTCTTGCTGAACAAAGGCGTATCCGCAGATAAGATAGTCTTCTCTAGAGTCATCTGACGCGAGGAAAAGTGAACAAAGCTTAATCAAACAAGCTTGGAGAGGGATGAGCTTTTATAGGTGTCAGGTCAGAGGGTATTCTGCATCTGGATCGATTCCTAGTCAGACAAAAGTTGTTATGCGTTGCTTGAGGCACGTAGGGCGTCAACAGAGCCTGAGGCAGTGCTTGCCGCCCTCAACCTGATGGCGATCAAGTCGGCCTCCGGGGCTTGATTTGACTTCATCGCCTGTGTTTTTGTGCAAATGGCATATATATAATGATGGAAAAAGAGTTTGATACTACGACCACAGGGTGTGGGAAACAGGGCATCCCGTCTGCTCAGCTGTACTTAAGCCACTTATTGAACACGGCCGAATAGAATGTGAGCTTTCTCTACTTTGCTATTTTATAAGTGAGTAATCCTAAGAGAAAGGGTACGTATAGGTCTTTTGGGTGATATTGTTAAGAGTATAGGTGAGTATAGGTAAATAGGGAAGCTGGGTGAGCAAATACGTGAGTAATTGAGTAACCAAGCAGGCCAGCTGAACCCGCAGGTTGGGTTAAAGTGGCTAACGGCCAGGTCAGGTCAGATTTTGTTACGAGACGGATAGATTGTGCTAATCAAAACATACCTTAAACAAAAATAGCTGAAAGACTATTTCTTCTATTTATATAAATTTATCTTGTATATGCTAAACTAGTCGGTCTCTCCGGAGGGTTGCAAAGGGGAATACAGACCCGGGTTGAGATGGAATCCCTATGCTGGTCTAAAAGAATCTATAGACATAGTATTCTGCTAATGTTAAGTACTTTAAAACTACCGCCCCCTACCGCTTGCAGCAGGATTTCTGTATATTGTACAGTATAGATAGCAATAATCAATCAAGCATTTATAATCATATCCAGTTTCTTCACCATCAGCGACTATCGTTACTGATATCAACCCTGCGGGGACTGGTTTGCCGCCTTTGCCACCATCCAGTTGAAGGTACCTATTCCAAATCATCTCCTTCTGCCCTGCATTCCAGCGATAGGTTATCACGGAGTACTAGAGAAGGCTTTTCAGTGATTATTATAACTAGGTATAGCTATTCAATGTTAATGAAAGCGGTACCGTACATGTCGTAATTAATCCAATAGGACGAAGTCAAACTGGTTACTGTCGGTGACGGTACCAAAAAAATCGAATCTAGGCTGGAGTCCGATACCTAGTACACGAGCTCGCTCTCTAAAGGGGTGATATGGAAAACTCATCCGTAACCTATATCCCAACCTGAATAGTTGAGCGAGTCCGCTGCTCACCATTCCCTTCCTCTTGGCTTCGACGATTACCAGCTGTGTGGAAGGTGTGATGGGATCCTCATACCAGATCGAATAGTCGGAGTTTCCTGCGATCTTAATCTTCTTCTAATACAGACCTCTGTCGAGAGTTACCTCGACCCCAAGCCTCAACTCTTGGGCACGATTGCCTTTGGTGACTAGCTGTTGCTGCAGACATAACAGCACTCAAGATGCGGTCGATCCTCATTCTCGCAGCTTCGACGTCTATGGCTCTACTCAGTCTCCGCACGGTATGCTTGGAAGGGGTATAGCTTACCGCGTTTCTGGGGGAATTGTACGTGGCCGGGTCGCCACTCAGCATTGGTCGGATGCTCGGCGATTTCAAAGTTGAACATCTGTCAGTTCAGGGCTCTCAAAGAAAACAGTCGTTCCCGGTCCATGCGACTATCTTCCTGCCGAGGGCAGATTCATCTCCCTTATGCATTTCCTCGTCGCCGAGTCCGTTTTGACGAGAATATCGATTTTGTTGAGATTATCAGCGATTGTATTGCCATTCGATCAGGCCTCGTACGACGCTCAGGGATGGAACCCCGCAGAGTCGAAATCACCAGTAGAACACCTGGCTGCGCTGCTTGCTTTCATGCTGCCTTAAGGCTTTGAAAAACCAATGCGTCGGAAAGCCACACACCGAAGGATAGCCAGGCTTTCTCGTCAGGAGTGTCGGCCGTACCCATGTCAGAAGGTCTGTCATACTTGTCTTCAAGGGCTGGGCTCTTTTGTCTCTATTCGGAGCCAGATAAGTGTGATTCTGTACATTTCTGACTTGTACAATCTGGTCTTCATGTGGAATCTCGATGAACTTGCTAGAGGAAAGTTGTTAGAAAGGTTGGTTGATCTAAATGAGTGAGGAGCCAGATACATTGGCTGTGCGTTTGTTGGTCCACTCAACTGTCTCCAGACGTAGAGGGAGAATGGTTCAGAGGTGATAATTTCTCTCTACTGTATTCAAGGGAAGAAGCGATCGCTTTGCAGCGAGGACTATGTGAATATGGTGAAGTAGTTGAATAGGTCATCATCAAAATCACAGCCTTCCCCTTCAAAAGGTGCCTAAATGAATCAAGATGTAATGAGGAAAGTGAACGTTTGCAATAATGTATAGAGTTAACCTTGCTTTGGGATAAATAGAACAGAACCAGCAAGCTTTCCTTACATTTGTACTGGTGAATGAGGTCCGAACTTCGCACTTGGTAGGGGACAAGCAATACCCGGGGCAGGAGAGGCTTATACTTCCGAGTCGGTAGGCTGTTAAGTGAGTGGCAGAGGAAGCTGTATAGACTATTGGAGTATAACGCAGCCAGCAAATACCACTTCAATAACCCTTGAAGTCCAGCAGAGTGAGTATTATAATAATCGTAATCAGAGGAATACAAACGGGCAAAAGATTAAGGTTTGAGCCATGGCTAGATAATTTATTATACAATATTAGAATATTGTTATTGTATAGAACATAAATCCAAAGTTGCTTATGGCAGATGTCTACGGTCATATCCCAGCATCCTGATATTGGTATCAACAAGGCAGAATATGATAATGTAGTACTGCACAAGCTCATAGAAATCACAACTTGTCGCGGGATAACCAGATTTTACTTCCACCCTACGACCACAACTGTATATCAAGATCCATCTAAGGCAGACCCCAGATAAACCCCAACCCGCTCCATCAAGCCAAGCACGAACCCCTTCGCAACCGTCCGATGCCGCCACACCAAATGCCCCAGTACAGCAACCGACCCTAGCCATCCCGCCAACCCCACCCCTGCCAACGCCATCAGATCCCAGTTCCGCACCTTATACACCGGCATCCTCATATCCGCCGTCTGCAAGTGCATCGGGCGGACCTCCTTTCCGTCCAGTACCCGCAGCTCGGTATCATACAGCACCTCCTCCACCAGATCCGCCGCGTGGTGCTTCCGGCGCGACGCCACCCTAGCAATCCGCTGCAACCGTAGCGACTCGCGCGCGTACCCGCCGTCGACATCTTCGAGTATGAGGCGCGCCTTCTCGAAGACCTCCTCCGCGGTGAAGGAGAACTTGTTCAGCGGCTCCGCGACGCCGCCGTGCACTAGCCGCGCCGTGTTGGCGATCTGATCCGAAAATATCCCCATCGCTAGCATGGGTTTGCCGTGGTATAGGCCCTCATTAGCGCTTGACCCGCCGCCGTGGGTGAAGTAGAGGCGCACGGCTGGGTGGTCGAGAAGGGCGCGCTGCGGCGCGAAATAGGGGAAGAGGAAGGCCGGGTGATGGCCGGCTAGGAGGTCGGCTAGAGTGATCGTTCCTTCTCTGGATGCCTTGCTGCCGTCGACAGTATTTGGTAGCACGGGAGTCGCGAATGTGAATATGGCGGATGAGTCGAGATCTTGTCGGCCGCTTTGGCCGACCGCCCAGATAACGCCGTCAATGACGGAGGCCTCCAAAAGCCGAAACAGTGCGGTGAGAATCTTGGACGCGTCCGCCATAGAAAGGATGACATGCGTGCCGAGAGCGATGTAGACAACCTTCTTGCGGTCAGAGAGGAAGTTAGTGTAATGCTCGTCGCACGGGGGGTAGGTGTCGCTGAGTATCGGGCCTACGACGGCCGCGAGCGGCGGCAGGTCGCGTGGGACCTCGAGTCCAAAGAACGAGTTGATGAAGACAAGGTAGTCGGGTTTGCGGGGGTTGGGGATGGAGTAGTGTACGCCGTGAGCGCGGCGCATCTGCTTTGTCCAGCGGAAGAAGCGGATGATCTCCCTCACGCCCTTGACGACCACGAGTTCATTCTTCAGACGGAGCCAGATAGAGGCGTGCTCGGAGGTGAGAGTTCCGTCCAGCTGGAAGCCCGGTTGTCCGGGGATATAGCTGCACGGAAGCATCAAGGCTGGCATTTGCGGGTGCACGATGGCCACGGGAACTTGGTATTGGAAGTGCATGTCTTTAACGGCATCGACGAAGAAGTCCGCAATGATGAAATCGGGACGGCGGGCAGGATCGTCCATGATAGACTCGAGATGGTCGTAAGTCACCGGCCAGAAGGAGTCGAACATGTACTTCGAGGGCATGGCGCCCGCTAGGCCGACAGACATATCCCAGTTCCGCATGCGCAAGTAATGCTCGCTCAATTGCCGCTCGGTCGGACCGGCTCCTAGTATATGCAGTTGGGAGATGAAGGGGTAGTCTTTCGTCCAGTGCTCCTGGCCCTCCATGGTTGCGAAGTCGACTGTGTGGCCTCGTTCGGAGAGGACCTTGCCCAGTTCGAGGACCGGAGCTGGATCTGGTCAGTAATTGTACTCAACCTGAAGGTTTTTCCATACCGGCATGGGTAAACCCACCTGTCGTTGCGACCAGGAGGATTTTGCGGGATGGATGTGCGTTCTTGTTCATGGTTGCTCAAGGGGCCTGGGAATGATGTTCCATTGTACGGGACATGACCCGGTATTTCACGCGATATAAGTATAGATGAGTCTCCGCCCAAGAGCAGGAGACCCCCGATCATCCCGAAAACTTTAGTCAGATCGGAGACATGGCTCCATTGTCAGACCATGGAGTGGATCTGCCCTAGACCGGGGGGTTGGCTGGTAGATGAAGCTTAAATTTGGGGCCTTATCTTGTCTTCATCTCAACCAGACATGAGCCCAGGCAGCAATCGCAGCAATAGCAGCAATAACTGAAGTACCTGCAGGGCTTTGGCCTTGTTCTGCTCATGATGCGGTCAGTTCGAGAGCAGGATAATAGGAAGACGAGAAAAGTTGTCATCCGGCAGGCTGCGCTCGTGTAATCCTTCCTCCCACCCTTTCCCGCCACACATGCGGGTCTATTCCGGATCGGGAAGAGGTTGCGAAGCACCGCCCATGACCGCATGACAAAGAACTATCTTACCTATATCCAACGTTCGTATGGGTTCCCTTGATTTTGAAAATTTGGCAGCCTGATGCAGCCGATTATAGCAATCGATGCGAGGCATTCCCGTCGACATCATGATTTGAGATATACATATCACCTTTGACTCGTCTCGTCGCGGAAGAGCCCACCACCTCAACCCACTAATGATAATTCACCGAGCATAAATCACGGCGACTTCCCTGCCTTCTTCGCAACATAGAAACATCCACCTTACCGCTCATATTATTCCCAGAATTCTGTCTCAATGGGGAAATCAAGGTCAAGAACCACCAACACCACAACACTCACCAATGCCTCTCCCACCATCCGCCGCTCCGCACTAACCGAGTGCTCTCTGTCCAACCTCACCCCCTCGGACTCTATCACCCGGAGCGCTCTCACGGTAGTCACTATCAGCGGTCTTAATAGCATCGAAAACCCCACATCCTCAACCTCAGCGTCCACTGCCGCCCCAGCCTGTACATCCCATCCATCAACAACAAGCATCAGCCGCTCCACCTGCACCACCTGCACCATCACTCACTCTCACCTCCATCACTGCATCTTCGCCAACTGCAATCTCGCCAACGTCTCCTCCAGCAAATTCGTGCAAGCCGACCACTGCACGCTAGAGAATGTCATCTCGCTCCGAAGATGCACGATCCGCGACTCGATCATCGGCGAGTGGTCGTGGATGACGCGATGCGAGGTGACAGCCTCCAGGGTTGGAGGCGGGAGTGCCCTGCGGCGGAGTACCATCAGTGACTGTCGCGTGACGGGCAGCCGGGTGAAGAAGGCAAGGCTCGTGAACTGCGAGATTGAAGGGTGTGTGATTGTCAATACTGAGCTCAAGGGAGTGGTGGCCAAGAATGGGGTTTGGAAGAATGGAAGCTTGGTGGGCAGGGTTGATCAGAGTCAGGATGTGGTGATTGTGAGCAGACATAATAAGGATAAGGTATGCCGGGCCCCGTCTGCGATCCTGCATAGTATTCTTCTTCAAGGGAGATGTGGTGGCATGACCTAGGCTAACGAAGACTTCATGGCAAAAGATTGATAACTCGGTCGCAGCGAGGGGAGTCGTAGCTGAGAAAAGGAGCACCGAAAGGGATCTGCTTGAGAGTAGTGACGACGGTGCTGAAACCGAGGATTGGGAAAGAAATGGCCGAATACAGTTCTGGGAACTTCAAGGGACGGAGCCGCCACCTCCTTATACAGCTTAACTAGGCTATTGAGGTCGATTGATCGCGCTGTACAGGCTATAAGCGACTAGGTATGGCAACCTGAGTAGTTTCGTGCATGTGAAGCTTTAGGTTCGTGGCCTGCTGTTCGTGGTCTGAGACCGCCACTTGCCGCAGCAGGTCTTCTTTCTAGCAGAATAATTACCATCAACTTGGGTCTTATTCAGTCTTTGGAAGGATGATTTTTAGGTTGTGGTGCCAGGGACTACTCATTCATAGCCCCGATACCTCATGTCATCTCCTCTTGTAGTCCACAGTGACAGCTAGACATTTGGGATGTCTCAGAGCAGTGTGTCTTCTGGACTCCAGGATCAGAGAATCCTTCGTTCGAAGAGCTGAATCAACACCACTCAATCATAGACAATGGGAATACTCCTATGGCGGGTCAATTGATGAATCATACCAGTCCCATCAATTTACACCCGGGGTTACTCATCAGTAGGATTGAGGATTAGCCGAGCCTGTCGGGTCCTACACAGAGCTTCCGCTACCGCAGAAGCACTTCAGGAGGTTGAAGAGAGAGCATCTTCCGATATAGGCGTCCAGGCGAGACACGCAATTAGAGATTGCGCCCACCATCATAATCCACAGGTTTACTAGTGACCGGGTCTGCAGTCGAATTCGTCCAAGCAAATGACTGTATTGCATACATAATCATGACAAACAGTCCTCTGGAGTGCCAAGCGATGATCTTTTTCGAGCTGGTGTGTTGCTCGAACGTCTGCTGCTGGGAAACGCTACGTACCATGATTTGGAAAAGACAGTGCGATGTTGAGGTCGGAAGAGTTTATCTTCCGGTAGTAGTGGAGGTGGATCCTCTTCTTAGAAACGTGAGTACCTTCATTGGTGTATTCGCGCAAAGCTCAAAATGTTTCTGAATAGCTTCATTAGTAGTGTGAGGTACTAGTACTAGTCTTATATTATTGTTCGCTTAGATCATTGTCTTGCATTGAGGCCAAAAGCCGCCGGAATGCCGGCTGGGCTTAGTCCTACCAGTCTAGCTAGCTCGGGGTTAGTTTCCCGGGCTAGCGCACAGACGGCGCCTTGACCGTTCCAGGCTGTAGGCAGGCAGCCGCACCGCATGAAGTCTCTCTGCTCTTGCGTCATGATGTGGTATGCTGCATGATGTGTGACAGGTCTGATCCTTGCAATTTTGGGGGTTATAGACGGCGATGTTCCTTCACTTGACACAATTGGTGAAGCCACTTTGGTCGGATTAGCTCGGGGAAGAAGCCAGGAGAAAGGAGAACACTTGGCGTGGAGAAGGGGGCCACAACCAATTTCATATGGCGTCAAACGGTGGAGAGAACTGGCTCTGCCCTGTAGGGAGTGGGTCGCAACAACACAGTCTGGATTGCTAAGTATGGGTGGAACCGGCACGAGGTCAGCAGTAGTCATTCCAGCAGGTACTACGTAGCTGAGAAAATCCCTGTAGTACAAAAGAATTGAAGTATCTTGCGCATGTTATAGAGCTCAGTAAGCTTATGGAAGTGTTGTAATACGGAGGACTCACACAATGCAGTAGTCCTCCCTCATGGATGAAAGCCTTGAAAGGACAAGCTGCAAGGCGGTGGGGAACGGCAGAGGCTAGGGGGGAAACTAACGCCACTTCGCTCCGATCGGCCGGCGCCCTTCCGCCTTCCTGAACTAGTCCTTGGTTTGCGACCACCTGCAGGAATTCTTGGGACTCCAGTCTCTCCTATCACTAACTACTTATCACCTGCGAGATTTATTTTTCTTGCTTTTCTCTTGCTCCTCTCCAATCCTACTATCCTCCTTGATCCTGATACCGCGAACTCCTCGGAGTCACTCATTTCTGCGCCTAGATATCGATTTTTGCCGCCTGATTAGGGGTCGCTGTCGTCATCTTTTTCCTCCCACGCGCGCCACGGAGCGCAAGGCCAGACACGATGGGCCTCTCCAAGACCAACAGGATTCTGATCCTGTTGGCTATTGACTCGGCTTTCTTCTTGCTAGAATTGATTGCTGGTTGGTCTCCCCGAATTTGATATTTGAACTGTCGCTTTTCTAACCTGCTGGACTCGAATAGGCTACAGCGTCCACTCGCTTGCCCTTGTTGCCGACTCCTTTCATATGGTACGCCTCGGTCGATACACTCTGCAGCCCTCCGACCACTTTGTTGACTTGTTTGCCACAGTTGAATGATGTTCTCTCTCTCTTGGTCGGATTATGGGCCGTGAAAGTCGCCAACCGCGAAACCAACTCGAAGATGTACACATATGGGGTGAGCTGCCCCCTCTCCCGCACACCGCTTGGAAGTCGTCCTAACCATCGTCGTCTGGTCGCAGTGGCAACGCGCAGAAACATTGGGTGCCTTAGTCAACGGAGTCTTTCTGGTCGCCTTGTGTTTGTCTATCTTCTTGGAGGCCATACAGAGACTGGTCGAGCCTCAGGAGGTCAAGAATCCTAAATTTGTCTGCATTGTCGGCTGTTTGGGTCTGCTATCAAACATCATCGGCCTGGTCCTTTTCCATGACCATTCTCATGGACACGGTCACAGCCATGGTCACGCAGACATCGAAGAAGGTGACTCTTCGCACGGTCATGAGCATAATCATGACCCTGTACCAGTCTTGGAGCAGGGAAACACAACTAGCGTGAGTAGGCCGGTCGCCTATTGCAGGAACACATGCTGACTTCTGATCACAGCGTACTGCTGGCGCAGACGCCTCTTCCCCATATTCAAACCGTCGTCGGACCTTGGACAGTCAGCACCGCAGCTCTCGTCGCTACAGCGGCGCAACCGGCCGTGGGTTCCTTGATGTTGAAGAGATCCAAGTCCACCCCGCCACTTTGCGGCAAGAAATCATTGCGGCCAGTCGCTCTCGCTATGATGACCCATCGGGATCCGACACTGACGTGCTTGAGGGTGGGGATTCCGAGGACGTCCGTCCATCCGAACGCTCTGCGCTATTGGGCCACAAGGATCGTGCTGGCAACTACACTGACGCCGGGAATGCGCCTAAGACGGCTCATCGTACTCATGTGGACGAGGACATTCACAGGCATCACAATCATGCCCAGCCTAAGCAGAAGGATGAGAAGCACAGCCATGGCCATAGCCATGATCTGAACATGCGAGGTGTCTTCCTTCATGTGATGGGTGATGCGCTCGGCAACATCGGTGTCATCGCCTCCGCCCTGATTATCTGGCTGACTGATTATTCCTGGCGCTTCTATGTGGATCCTGGCATTTCGTTGGTGATCACCGTGATTATTCTCTGTTCTGCCATTCCTCTTTGCAAAGCGGCCTCGCGAATCCTGCTTCAGGCTGTGCCCCACGGCCTAAGCATTGACCATATCAAGGAGGACATTGAAGGACTGCCAGGAGTAATTGGCTCCCACCACTTGCATGTCTGGCAGTTGAGTGACACCAAGCTTGTGGCTTCGATCCACATCCAGGTGGATACGGAGATCAAGGGCGAGGGGTCGGAGCGGTATATGCGTCTAGCCCGGCAGGTGCGCAAGTGCTTGCATGCCTATGGCATTCATTCTTCCACCATTCAACCGGAATTTGCGCCGGACAGCGATGCCGAGGACACCCTTCAGTTCCCTTCTCACCCCGATGGTGAAGCCTCCACTTCGACGACGCTCCCGAGCCGTGCACCCAGTGTCCCTGAAGGAGATCCTCAGGCTTGTCTTCTTGAATGTGGCGAAGAATGCGCCCAAAACGGCCAGTGCTGTCCGAAGAGGTCGCTGTGACTGCATTAGGGAGGGGGCGCGATACGCTTCCGTCTAATTACCTCACCTTCACACTTTCTCATAAGACGACTCGACCTAAAAATACTGTTTCCTATCCGTACTGATCATACCCGATTGTTTCTGGTGACTGAGATGTCATCTGTTGAGTTTGTTCCTGTTAATAATCTCTGTTTGGACTTGGCGCATGTTCGGCGGGCACTTTGACATAAATGCATCCAGGCGTGTGCGCATCTCGCGCTTGTTTTCAAGTATCTCTACCAAAATTACACCGTACTGTATGATGGTCATATGTTGACATTATCAAGCCACCTGCTCTCGCATGTCTATCGAGAAATTCGGGCGCCTGGTTTAATGCGTAGCACTATGTACTGTACTATGTAGTAGCAATTCCCACAGAGTGAATATGCTGACGGGCGGTGAAGGCTTGGAGTGAGGCAGGGATGCGATGGTTCGCCCGCGGTCGGAGGCTGTCAGTTACTAAAATTGGAACAGGACCCCCAAACCTCTGGAACTAAACCCAGCTGGAGAAGCCGCGACCACACGTGACGTGATCCCGCCCGTTTGGCGGCGAAACACCCCTGGCGTCTTCACTTCACTGCTCATTCTCTCACACTGACACATATTCTTTTCTTGTTCAAATTATTTTCGCTCGCTTGTTACATCTCTATTGCTTCATTGTATTGCATCTCGAGGCATGCCGTCGCGACTCGTTCTTTACTAACTGCTTCAAACTCGTTTCAGCATCGGAGCGGCAATGCCGCATGACGGTAGCTGCATCTCCACTGTGCACCAACAACCATGAGTTACGCCTACCCTCATTCACACGGCGCCGGCTCTGGCAGCTATCGACCGTCCAGTCGCGAAAATGATATGGAAAAAGCGACACTTTCAAAACAGATGCGAGAGTACCTACCATCATGGACACAACAATGGGCGAAGGAATTGACAAATGGAGTTCGAAGTCGGGATGGGGTAGTGTCATTGCTACGAAGAATGTTCCGGTGTATCTTCACCATCACAAATGCGCTGGTGGTTCTCTGGGCTTGCACGCTCTGGTGGGGAGAGCGGACCATTTTCCAGGACAGTGTCAAGGCATGTGCGTGGGGAAATTGGGAGAGATGGGTATGTGACCTCGTTGCTCTACGGCCCATCGCCGACTGTCCCTGTCTTTAGATCCATCTAACAATGGTGATATGTAGCCTCAAGATGCCGTGCCACACCATGTCGCGTTCATCGCCGATCCCCAACTAGTTGACCCTCATACCTACCCCGGCCGGCCGTGGCCCCTGTCGACCTTGACCGTGAAATTCACCGATCAATATATGCGGCGTTCGTTTTCCACCTTGCAAAAGGAGCTTGGTCCCGACTCGGTACTATTCCTGGGGGACTTGTTCGATGGCGGCAGGGAATGGGCGACCGCAACCAGCTCCAGTCCGGAGAAGCGGTACCAGAAATACAAGGATCGCTTCTGGAAGAAGGAGTTCCATCGATTCACTAAGATCTTCATGGACACCTGGAATGCCGGCGATGGACACTCGAGTGATCCCCGTGGGCGGAGAATGATTACGAGCTTACCGGGCAACCACGACTTGGGCTTTGGATCGGGCGTCCAGATCCCTGTTCGGGAACGATTCCAGAGCTTCTTTGGGAAAGGTAACCGTGTGGATGTGATTGGAAACCATACTTTTGTCTCAATAGACACCGTCTCGTTGAGCGCCATGGATCAACCTGATCCGGAGACTGGCAGCTCGGGTGCCGGCACAGGGGAGGGAGACCTACCAAACCAGCGCATCTGGGCGGAGACGGAGCAATTTCTCAACAGCATGAACGTACACCGGGGCCGGGCGGAGATGGAATCGTTGCGTATGATGAGAAATGAGAGCGAGGGGCACCTTTATGTGCATCGGGCTGTGGACATTTTGGAGCCCTCCTTCTATCACCGGCCGCAGCCAGAGATTGCAGGCCTCCCCGCGATTCTCTTAACCCACGTCCCATTGTACCGCAAACCGGCCACGCCATGCGGGCCTTACCGAGAGCGGCATCCCCCTTCCGGTGACAACCTGGAAGAGGATGAGCGCAACTCCATACCTATGGGGCGGGGCTATCAGTACCAAAATGTGTTAACGCCCACCATTTCGCGGGACATTGTGTCCAAGGTTGGGCCTAACCTGGTCCACGTCTACTCTGGAGATGATCATGATTACTGCGAGGTTGCCCATCACGAATTCAGTGGGTCACCCCGGGAAATCACGGTAAAGAGCCTGTCTTGGGCGATGGGGATTCGACGGCCCGGCTTCGTTATGACCAGCTTGTGGAACCCTGTCGATAAGACGACCGGGCAGTCGCTGCAGTCCTCTGGATCTGGTCGGACAGTGCAGAATCACTTGTGCCTTCTACCCGACCAGCTCACCATTTTCATCAATTACGGCCTAGTCTTCGCTTTCACCCTGATTGTCCTTCTTCTCCGGGCGGTGTTTGTGGTGAAACATCCCTCACAGGCTAGCGCGGCGGACCCCATTCTCCCTCTGTCAGAGAGTCGCAGTCACCCCGCGCAGCGCCCCGCCCGATACAAGAGCCCGTCTTCTAGTACGTCCAGCTCCACGCTTCCATCCCCGCACGGCTTGGCTAGTCGCGCGATCAACAATCCTCCTTTGTACGCCACTTACGCAAGTGCAGATGAGGATGAGCTGAGTAGCGCCAAATGGAAGCCGACGCGGGATGGCTCTGGGCGCCGAGCCGGCCGGAGCACCACCACGGCCGGGAAGATTAAGGGGGAATTTGTAGATTCCGTGAAGTACGTAGCGGGGATTGTGTTTGCGTGTTATTTCTTTCTCATCTGGCGTTGGTAGAGGAAATAAAAGACCTGGATTGGTGGGTCGGAGTTTGTAGACATGGCGGCCTGCTCAGGATATATACATTTGCGGGGTTCAGTACTCGGGACGGAATTTTACTGCAACCTCGCTGGTCCAGGTTTCGGCGTTTCAGTTCTGTATCTGCGCGATAGCATCCTTGTCAATCATGATGCTGGCTAACGAGAATCTCAAACCATCTTGATTCGAATTGCTTCTATTCCGTAAACAGCAGCATCATCGTACCTGGTATGAAGCGCAACCGGAGAGACCATCATGAAAGTAAGGGCCTTCCGCGCGGGACAGGGAGCAGCAACCAATCAAAGTAGCCCACCCACGTGATCTATCCAGGCGGGTAACCTTAACCCTATTTAGCCTTCCCACTGCCGTATCTTGTGTAACCATCGAACCACCATCAAAAGATTCAAGATCTCATCGACGTTGCTGGCCCGGATGGCCTCATTCACTGCAAAGGCGCTGTATAACAATGATAGAAGCCTCTAACATACACCGTCCGATGTAGTGTAACGGCTATCATACCTGTCTTTCACACAGGAGATCGGGGTTCGATTCCCCGCATCGGAGAGCTTCAATTCCTTTTTTGGTGGTTCAATCTTGTCTTTTCTAGATCGAGACGACAAGATGCCTTTTTTTTGGAGTGTCTTCGGCAGTCGCCCGGTCCCTGCCCTTCCTGGCCCGTAAAGCACAATTAGCCAATGACCTCGCTCAGCGATACACGCAGTGATTAGGGGGGCGGCTATCCCTGAAGAGAGTTTCGCGAAGTTGAATTATTGTACAGGTTTATGGATTGAATGATTATTGAGCTCCTAGAAGTCTCTCAATGCATTGTCTGAGATTCAAATTGACTGGCCACGGCTTGACAGAGAAGGGGGGGGGGTGGAAATTGGCCCCATCCTATCTAAGTGACCGTCGTATGAAAGATGCGAAAGACACAGTCATTGAGATCCCGCTTTCTGCGCAGAGAGCCTCAATTGCCTTCTCCATACAATTTCTTGCTGATGTCCGACCCAGAAACCCGGGGGACCCAGCATCTAAGGAGGGATCCCATACGGACAGCAACCCCGCATTACTACACTGTAGCCAAGACATCACCACCAATGGAATCCAACACGGCAGCCTTTGAAGCGGGAAAGAAACAGGCTCCTCCTCCAGCTCAATGAAGAAGAATGACGTTGAACTGTCCCCAGATCCTCGTGTTGTGTTGATTTGACTTTTGATCCCGCGGGGGAAAGGGAAGATCACCTCCTTTTCGAAGTGCAGTGCTGTGCCCAGTGGCTGCCTAAACAAATCTCATTTGCTAACTTTAATTCTGCCCGGGGAAGGGACCTGATTGCACCAGGCTGGTGCAATCGGAGCGGCACCACCGTCACAGATGGCGCCAGCGGCGTCCGCTCATCCATCCCGGGGTCGTCGGGAAACGATCGCACACTGAAAGGCTCCGTCCTCCGGCAATAGGCAATAATCTCCCGGCTTGGGCATCCAGGAAAGTTTCTTGGTTCTGTTGCTTGGTTATTCTTGTCCTCCATCGCATTAGTCAAGAATTGGTCGACAACGCCGTTAGTCATGGGTAGGGATCTGAAAATAGCATCATTTTGCCCTCGTGGGAGTTCGGCATGTTGGAGAGTCAAGAGTCAAGCATCTAGACGGCTCCAGATGACAGACACACAACAAAAAAAAATCCGGGGATGTTGATCATGTGGCAAAGCAAGCGAAGAAATTTTTCTTTGCAAAGTGCAAAAGCCACGCCTAAGGGGAAAATCGCCGACGCTCGCCAGGGACCGATAGTCAAACAAAACAGACTCTAAGCCGAGTTCGGGCTCCCGGTGAGATGTTGGTTGGTGAAGGCGGGACCGATGGGTGAAACTTGGGAGGTTTGCTGTTCGGCTCTGGCCGTGCTGGAAAGCTCCTGAACCATCGGGTGAGCCGTGGTTCGGGCTTGGTTGCTGAGGACTGTGGCTGAGGCAATTGGAAACTAAGGAAGTTGGCTAGTTTAGCGTGGATTTAGCGTGGGAAAGTAGAACGCTAAGGCTAGACCTCAAACGGGGGATTTTTTTTTGTTTTTTAACTTTTTCCCCCCACGTCGGGTTGGTCTGGGGAAGAAAGTTCCAAAAGTTTCTGATCTTGTGATCACCTTGACAGACTGACAGTTCGGGCAAAATCGCCGTCAAGATTTCCGGATCGGCTCTAGCTCTATGAATATGGACTGTATGCAGAGTGTTGTTGTTTATTGTGGCTGATTTGGTTGATTTGGCTGATTCGGGATGGGGAGATGGTAGGACCGGCTACCCGAATGCGGTCTGGGGGTTTGTGGGTGGCCGTTCCCGGTGCTGGGCCGGCTTCTCTTGTTCACCTCCTGTTAGTTGTTTAGCTGTGAATACACAATACACACCGTCTTTGCTCTGCACATCAGGTGCGCAATCTGATCACTGTTCACCTTAGATTTTAGAGATTCAAATCCACAGCAGGGTCTGAGCAGAGACCTCGGAGATGGGCTGGCAACAAACAAACCTCCTCGGGCACCGGCGAGAGCCAGTGTCGTTCCCCACCGGTCGGCTTTGCCCACCAGAACCCTCCGGCTAACGCACTCTCTCGGGACTAGTCCCGACACTGAACAATGGCGATCGTCGGCCTGGCCTCGTGTCTTCTCTGACTTGTCTCAATCTGGAGTCTCAACACTCCAGTCTCCACACTCCAGACTCGGGGAGGCCCTGACAAACGACGCGGGGGAAAAGAATGTTCGGTCTCGTGGCCTGGCCCCTACTCTGTTCCGGGCTGTGCCATTCACTCCCTCATGCATTCACTGCAATTCCGGTCCGTCAGCAGTCCCCGGCCGGCCGGATCTGGGGTTGACCAGACTCTCTCGGCCTCTCCCCCCGCGCACTACAAAAGCATCGTGATATCCCCAGCTCAGTTGGACTTTCTCAGCTTCATCTCCATCCTCTTCTCCATCATCAGTTTCTCATCTTTCCATCATCCCGTCGTCAACTGCCTCACACCTCATTACCAACCAATCCACGTGACCTCAATCTATCTACCCTTGACTGTCTATCATCATTCGCACTGAAGAACTCTCTGCCATTGACTGTTGACACACACACCCACTCTACCACTACCCCTTCTGATCCTACCTGTGATCGATCAACCATGGGTTTCATGCTGAAGAAGCCTGAAGAGGCAGTGGGCTCGGCCGCCCCTGCCATCATTGTTGGCCTGTTTGCCGCCTTTGGAGGTATTCTCTACGGTTACGACACCGGTACCATCAGTGGTATCATTGCCATGAAGAAGTGGCGCGAGATGTTCTCCACTGGCTACGTGAACCCCAAAGATGGCCTTCCCGATATCACTTCTTCCCAGTCTTCCATGATTGTCTCCCTACTGTCCGCGGGTACTTTCTTCGGTGCCCTCTGTGCCGCGTTTGTGGCCGACCGCTTTGGTCGGCGCCTGGCTATGATCCTCGACTCTTTCGTTTTCTGTTTCGGTGTTATTCTGCAGGCTGCCGCCACCCGCATCCCTTTGTTCGTGGCTGGTAGATTCTTCGCCGGCTTTGGTGTTGGTCTCCTTTCGGCAACCGGTATGTTCTTCCCGTGGGTGGATGATCTAAGGCAATAGATACTGACGGCAATCTAGTTCCCCTTTACCAGTCGGAGACTGCTCCCAAGTGGATCCGTGGTACCGTTGTGGGTGCTTACCAGCTGGCCATCACCATTGGTCTGCTGCTCGCCTCCATCGTCAACAATTCCACCAAGGACCGCATGGACACTGGCTGCTACCGCATTCCCATTGCTATCCAGTTCGCCTGGGCTATTATCCTGGTGACGGGTATGCTCATCCTGCCCGAGACTCCTCGTTTCCTGGTGAAGCACGACCGCCACGAGGCCGCGGCTCAAGCGCTCGCCCGTCTGCGTCGTCTCGATGTCAACCACCCCTCCATTGTTGAGGAGCTCTCCGAGATCCAGGCCAACCACGAGTACGAGCTCAGCGTTGGCAAGGCCAGCTTCGGTGACATTCTCCGTGGCACTCTGGGCAAGCGTCTGCTCACGGGCTGCTTGGTCCAGGCCCTGCAGCAACTGTCTGGTGTCAACTTCATCTGTATGCTTTCCTTTTCTTGTCCATTTTCATCGATTCGGGTCTAACCTTCGTTGCAGTCTACTACGGAACCACCTTCTTCCAGAACTCTGGCATCAAGAACAGCTTCACCATCACTTTGATCACGAACATTGTCAACGTGTGCTCCACCTTCCCCGGTCTCTGGCTCGTTGAGAAGTGGGGTCGTCGTCCTCTCCTTCTCTTCGGAGCTGTTGGCATGTGTGTCTGCCAGTTCATTGTCGCTATTGTCGGCACGGCTACCGATTCGGAAGTCGCCAACAAGGTGCTGATCGCCTTCGTCTGTGTCTACATCTTCTTCTTCGCTTCCACCTGGGGTCCCACTGCCTGGACTGTGACTGGTGAGCTGTTCCCCTTGAAGGCTCGCGCCAAGTGTCTGTCAATCACGACTGCCTCCAACTGGCTCCTGAACTGGGCTATTGCCTACGCCACTCCCTACATGGTGGACTCCGGCCCGGGCAATGCCAACCTCCAGTCCAAGGTGTTCTTCATCTGGGGTGGCTTCTGCGCTATTGCCGGCGTCTTCGTCTACATGTGCATCTACGAGACCAAGGGACTCTCCTTGGAGCAGGTCGATGAGCTCTACGCCAAGGTGTCTTCTGCCTGGCGCTCGCCCGGCTTCGTCCCCTCGGTGCACTTCACCGATGTTCGGGATGTGGCCGATGGCAAGGCCCGTGGCACTCTCGGGGAGTTGGAGCACGATGCTCAGATGAAGCGTGAGCACGAGCACATCGAGTCTGCCTAAGGATATGATCTGGTCTTTTGTTTTTTGTTTCGGAGTACGGGTTGGACATTTAGGATTAATAATTTTGGAACGACATTTATCATGTATAGTATGAGCATTTTTGTTTGAGAAGCGCAGCGATTGAGTCATGTCATGTGTTATGAGAATTACAACTGTCATATGTGTCAAGTGTCAGTGTCATATTTAAGAATGCGAATGATGCATACCGATTGAAGCTTGAGTGATGATTTCTAGTCCACAAAACTCCTTTGAACCAATTGTAGCAGTGTAAGCAGAACTCCGACGTCACCGGCGCACACCAGGTTCCCCGCCGAGTACGGAGAAGTACGGAGTATGACGCCTGGAGCAAAAGTTTGAAGTGATTGGGTGCCACCGCCCCACGGGATTACGCGCAATGGCCCCTCTCACGTGATTGCAACCAGGAGTTCATCTCCCAAAACGGCAATCACGGGGGCTGTTCCCGCTCCACCGAACACCCTCCTTCATCATCATCCCCCATCATTCCTCATCATCACCTGCTTTTCTACTGCCGATCGATCGTCCTTCCTCTTATTTCCTCCCCTGTCCCCCTTATTTCCTTTTTCTTTTGGTCTCCTGACAATGCGGCATCCTGTAATTTACTACATCCCCTGATCGCATCATGTTTCTTTCGTCCGACCCTGACGGTGAGACCCTGGGTCCATCTGTCAGTATTAGCCGTGGGCCGGACCCCGGCCCAGGCTCCCAGGACAATAAATCGCACTACCTCAGCACCGCCATCGAAGTCGGAACCATCGAACAACAACATCATCATGTGTTGGGCTCGCGAGGGGATCGGTCATCACCACAGCGATTCGAATTGCAAGACTTAGGCCCCAAATTAAACAGTGACGACAAGAACTCCGCCACAGTAACCGACAGACTCCTCGGAGACGACGAGATGAGCACCACGGTCTCGACGCTGGCTTCGCATCCGCTGTTCCCACCACTACCCACTTATGGACCGCCCTCCTTAGTCCTAGCGCTGAAATGTCTTCTGATCCGCTGCGTCTCCTTCGTCCTGTCGCTCCTGTTTCTGGGCACGGTCATGGTCGCAGCCATCGTGCACACCGTGGTCAATGCCGTCACCTCGCCTACCCACCGCAGTCGACGTGGCCAGGAATCTAGCGAGGGGCGCAAATTCTCCGCAGAAGAGCGGTCACGGCGCACGGAGCGGATCAAGGCGCTGCGGCGCTGGAGTTCTCGACAGGAGAAGGAGGTCAACGAGGAAGGGCTGGATGAGTGTCCACCGCTGGAGGGTGGCAAGGATCCCATTGTCTGTGACGTGGCGTACTATGCTCGTCGCGTTGGGTTAGATGTTGAAACGTTCAAGGTACAGACGGAAGACGGTTTTATCCTCACGCTGTGGCATGTTTACAATCCGCAAGAGTACACTCCTTTGCCGGCCAAAGACCGTCGGCATCGCGGACCGGACGTGTTTACGGGCAACACGGACCCCGAGGTCTCCAAGCGTTCCACGCCTCGCAAGTATCCCGTCCTGCTGATGCACGGGTTGCTCCAAAGCGCCGGAGCTTTTTGCGCCAATGACGACGACAGTCTTGCGTTCTTTCTTTGCAAATCTGGCTATGACGTCTGGCTGGGCAACAACCGGTGTGGTATGACGCCTGAGCACACCACTCTCCTTGAGACGGACCCGCGGATGTGGTCGTGGAACATCCAGCAGATGGGCGTGCTCGACCTGCCGGCGCTCATCTCGCGCGTCCTCTATGAGACTGGCTTTGAGAAGTTGGGCCTGGTGTGCCACTCCCAGGGCACTGCGGAGACCTTCATCGCCCTTGCAAAAGACCAGCGACCCGAGCTCGGAGAGCGCATTTCAGTCTTCTGCGCTCTGGCCCCGGCCGTATACGCAGGTCCACTGATCAATAAAGTGTGCCTGAGGTTCATGCGGATCATCCCGCCGCTCATCTTCCGCGCCTTCTTCGGCATCCATTCGTTCATTCCGTTCATGATGACCGTTCATCGTCGCCTACATCCACGCATCTACGGTGCTCTCGGTTACTATGTTTTCTCGTTCCTGTTCGGCTGGAACGACGCCCGCTGGGACCGCGCTCTTCGCGACCGAATGTTCCAATTCGCGCCAGTCTATGTCAGCGCGGAGACGATGCGGTGGTGGCTCGGACACGGATGTTTCGCCAACCATAAATGCATTCTCGCGACGGAGGAGTCGACGCTGACCGAGATGGAAGAGGACCTTCGCCACAGCAACGAGTCGCCCCCGCCTCGCCGCGACACCGCATGGTACGGACCCCAGGTACCCCCGATGGCCTTGTGGATCGCCGGCTCGGACAACCTCGTCGACGGACAGCAGTTCCTGCAGCGGCTGCAGAAGGGCCGTGAACCGCATATCCGCCTGGTGCACGCCAAGGTCATCGAGGACTACGAGCACCTGGATGTATTATGGGCCATGGATGCTGTCGACCAGGTGGGACAAGAGGTGCGGCAGGTACTGTGGCAGACAATGCCGGATGAGGCGCGGGCGGTGTGTCGTGTGCCTCGAGGCGTGGAGTAATGTGGTTGACAGTGGGTTGTATATACACGAAGCGGACCCTGTACATATTCAGATCTGTTCTGTATCCTTAGACATGAGACACGACCATAGACATATTAATTAAGCCTTGTGAGTTCAATCATGTATTTCCCTTCCTCAATCGCCAACATCCGAGCCAGGGAGATGAGTAAATGCCTGCCTCCCAGTCAACACCCCAGCAACGACACAAAATGTTTAATGCCAATGCTCCCCGCAACACCGTCCGATACCCCCGGAGATCCTCCTCCCGCACCCGGAAATCCCTCAAATCCGCCCGCGCCGCCATCCACCCATCCATCTGGTCCCCGAACATCTCGAAACGATGCGGCACGCTCAGCCTCTCCTCAAACGCCTGCACCACGGAGATCTTCTCCGCGCCCGCGGGGTCGATCATCGCCGGGCGGGCGGCCGCGACAATGGCATAGGGGTTTTCGCTGGGGTTGGAAGTCACCGGTTCGGGGACTTTTCCGCCCTAGAAGAACTGTTTCCTTATCAAAGAAGACTCTTTTGGGCCTGGGGGGGGGGGCATACGCCAATCAACATCCACGAGTTTATGGCTGGGTTCGCGGCGTGCACAGCCTCGACGTACGCGGGGAGGCTGTCCGCCACGTCGACGGGGCTGTTCTGGCCGAACTAGTCGCCGAGCAGGGTTTGTTTCTCCGGGGTGTCGGGCGGGATAACTTAGGTACCATCTATCATGTCAGTCTTTGCACCGAGTGGCTTTGGGTTGGGTTGGGTTTCGGGTTGGGGTGGATCGATCACCATTCCACAGGACACGGCTCCCCCCGGAACCAATCTGGCATGAAGAGTCGGTACTGCTGGTTTCTGGCTGCTCGTGCCTCCTCCTCCTCCTCCGCCGCCGGCGGCCAGGGTATAGGCGCCCTGCGGGGTCTGGTCGACGTAGCCGAAGATGTTGAAGATGGAGAATATGGCTTTCGTTGTGGTGGTGGTGGGGGGCCTGTTACGTCTTCGCTTTATCAGCGGTGGTTTTATTGCCGCTATGGCTTTATAGGGGAATGACAGGGGGCGGAAATGAGGGGAGGGGGGCTTTATGCAGGTTTTTATTCCCCTAGCTGCTCGTAGGATCCTTTGAGGATGTCGTTGTCGGTGATCACGGGGGCGATGTTGCAGCGGGCTTCGTTGCGGCCGTGGGTGGCTGGCATCGAGGTGGACATGATGGCTGTTGGGTGGTGAGGAGTTGAGTGGCAGAAGGGGTGAGGTCGGGGGATTGTTGGTCTGTTGTTGCTGGGCGGGGAGAGGGTGGTGAGAGATCTGCTGTTTGTGGTGATGCTAGTGGTAATGGTGGTGCAGCAGTGTGGACGGAAAATAGATGGGGATGGGGAGGAGATAACTAGATAATTCAAAAATTTTTTATTACAGTATAGATATAGATAAAGTTTTTATAAATTTGTATAAATTTATAAAAATATAAAACGTTTATTATCTGAATTTTATACTACTATTAATGATTTTATATAAATAAACAAGCCTTAGTGACCCTTGCTATGCTCGGGGCTAGTTGCAGCCTAAAAGAATAGGGTAGTATTAAAGGTGGTATAATTAAAAACAGTAGAAAAATCTAAATCTCTTATTATAAGAATAATAAAAATATATTTTTAAATTATATCTTGACTAGAAATCTATAAATAATATATCTAAGTCTTAGTTTTAGAGAATCTGACTAATTTATATTTCTGGTAATAGACCAGCTTGGTAGTTTTAAAACTAACTATAAATATTATAATCAATTCATAAACGAAAAAATAAAACTTTAAAAATTAGTGTTATGGGACCAAGGCCCTGATATAGAGCTCAGCTTCAGGCACCAGTTGGTGTTACAGGACGGATGGATTGTGCTAATTGAAACATGCCTTAGAATAAAAAAAATAGCTGGGGAGCTATTTTATCTGTTTGTATAAAATTTATATATATATATACTAAGCTAGTGCTAGTTTAGTATATAGTATATAAAACCTTAGATACTAACTAGTACCTGAAGCTAAGCTTTATATTAGGGCCTTAGTTTTATAATAAAGGTCCCCCTCCTCTTTTTATTATCTTCTATAGCTTTTATTTATATAGATAAGTATCTAAAATTTAAAATAATAGTTTTATACTTTAGTTTTTTTTAACATATTATAGCTGGTTAGTAGGCAGTATATATATAGGTATAATTTATTTTATATATTATAGTTTTTTTTATATAATTTCTTTTTATTTAGTAAATATAATAATTTTCTAGTAAATAGAATCTTTTTTTATACTATTTATATAACTAATTCTGGGGATATATTTAGGCTTAGCTACTAGTTTTATATATAGTATATAAAGTACTATATAAAAAGGCCATCCCCCTTTTTTTTTTTAGCTCTTTTATATATATATATTCTAAGGGAAAATGGGTCAGTTGAGTATAGAATAGTAGCAGTCTATTAATTTTAAGACTAATCCTTGCTATCCCAAAGATGTAGTAAGATTCTAGAAGTTAAATACTAGAGGGAGTTTTAAATTATTAATATTAGGACTAGAGTGGCTTAACCTGACTGTTATATCTTAACCTTAACCTGGCCATAACCTGGCAGTTAGGTTAAGATATAAAAAATTTTAACTGTACAGTATTGCAAGATGGCCTATTTTATAGGTTTTTTACAGCTTTATAAAAATATATTTTTTATAATTTTTTTTTAGTATTATAAAACCATACTTCTAATATATTTTCTATAGTATTATAAAATAGCCTACTTTATAGATTCTTTACAGCTTTATAAAAACATATTTTTTATAACTCTTTTTTAGTATTATAAAACTATATTCCTAGTATGTTCTCTATAGTATTACAAAATAGCCTACTTTATAGATTTTTTACAGCTTTATAAAAATATATTTTTTATAATTCTTCTCTAGTATTATAAAACTATACTTTTAGTATATTTTTTATAGTATTATAAAATAGCCTATTCTATAGGTTTTTTACAGTTTTATAAGGATATATTTTTTATAATTCTTTTCTAATATTATAAGACCGTACTTTTGGTATATTTTCTATAGTATTATAAAATAACCTATTTTATAGATTTTTTACAGTTTATAAAAATATATTTTTTATAATTCTTTTCTAATATCTACAGTTAGTAATAGCTTTAAATAGATAAGTAGTTGTTTCTCCAATTTTTAAAGATTATTTAATTATTATAAAACTACTTTTTCTAGCTTTTTATAGTCTTTTTTTACAGCCTGCTTTTTAAAATTAGATTTTTATAACAGTATATCTGCTGGGTTTTATAATTTTAGTCTATATATTAAAAAAAATTTAAAAACTGCAAGCTGTTGTGCCTATCTAATCTATCTATCTTTATAAAAATGTTTTATTTATTATAAAATAATATAAATTTTTATAATTTATTACTATTTTTACTAAATACTCTGCACCCTCCAGCTAGCACCTATACTTTTTAAATAATTCTATAATTATAAGAAGTTTTTAGTTATAGATACTGTAGTTCTACTCTATAGGAATTATTTTTTATAAATAAAATACTACTAGCTTTTATTAGCCTTTCTAGTTTTTTTATAATAATACTCGGCTGATTATAAAGGCTAAAATATCTATTTTAATTTATAAAAGTTATTTTTTTTTTTAAAATATACTGTAACTATATTTTTTATAAATATATTCTTTAGCTTCTAAAAGCTTTTATAGGCTTTAAATATTAGAAAACTATATTTAGTTTCTTTTTTCTCCTTCTTATAAAATATTTTGGTAAGATCTGTAATTAGTACTGTAATTTATAAGTACTATTGTTATGGGACCAAGGCCCTGATATAGAGCTCGGCTTAAGGCACCAGTAGCACCTGAGGCCTTGCACGCTAGGTACTAAACTAGCACTAGCTTAGTGTATATATAAAAGAATTTTGTACAAACAGATAAAATAGCTCCCCAGCTATTTCTTTTTATTTAAAGGTATGTTTTAATTAGTATAATCTATTTATTTTAAAATATTAGAAATAGCTTACTAAAAAGGTTCTAGACGGAGCCCGACTAGGTATATAAATAAAATAAAATAAAACTAAAAGAAATATTAAAATAATAAAATAAATAGATTAGAAAGAATTACAGCCAACTGCAGTATCTACAGCTATATATAATAATATATAACTTTTTTTCTAAAAACTAATCAGCCTCTGTATAAAAATAGTAAAATAGAAATTAGCTTTTAAAAAGCAGATAAATAAATTATAAAGTTATAATATAACTTTTATTATTAATAGTAAACTAAAGGAAAACCCCTTACAGCAACTATACAAGCTAAACTACAGATCCTATTTTTAATATTTTAATATAAAACTATTTAATAAAAAAAATAAGTGCAACTATAAACCATTTAAACTAAATATATATATAAAATTTATAATTAATAAAAATTACTATTCTACTGGGCTGGAATAAGTTTTTTATATTTATAGTTAACTATACAGATAGGCAGTATAACAGATACTTTTTTAGATTAAATTTTAAAATACTAAAACAGTATAATTAAAGAATATATTTATAATAATAAATAAAGTATTTAAAAACCCTAATATATAATAAAAAGCCTTAAACCAGATTAATATAATAAAATAAAGAAAAATAGAATTAATCTTTTTTTAAATAACTTTAACAAAGCTCTGCTACAGAGAAAAGAATATAATTAGTTAAATAAATAAAAAACCATACTAAATACTGCAGTAAACTAAAAACTTATTAAAAGATTAGTTAGAATTTTTGAAAAGCCTATATATAAAGATTATTATAACTAACTATACTGTATAAACTATAATCTTAATAAAATATATTTTTTTTAAAAATAGCTATACTAAAACTATACTAGTATAATATAAACTAAGCTTTAAACTAATAAAGTAAAAACCTATTTAAATAGCTGCTATACAGTAAGAAAAATATTATTTTTATATAATAATTAATAAACCCTAGAGGTAGGCTTAATAAGTAATATTTAATAAAATATAAAAAGAATATAAAGTAAATTACTGCCTCTATTACAGACAGAACAGATATTTTATTTATTAATATTTTTTAAAACCTGCTGTATAACTAATAAGTATAGCCGCAGCTATATGTATCTTTTAGTAATAAAAAAAATAATATACCTTTTTAAATAAAGACTATAATTTGGAAAAAAAGTCTAGTATAAAGTTGTATACCTAAATAAGAATTACTAAATAAAACTAAAAAAAATAGAAAAGTTTTTAAAAAAAATATATAGTTATATACTTTTTTTTAGTAAAGGCTATTTTAGACCTTACTACAACTGCCTATATTTTTATTAATTTAGAATATCTAATCTATAGTATTATAGATAAAATAATTACTAAAGTAAATAGTCTATTAATTATTAGTATTAATCTAAGACTGGTATAAGAAATCTTAGATAATAAAATACTAATCTATTCTATTATATAAATGATAATAGATATAGGATTCTATATAAAAAAAGTATATTTTTATATAATATCTAATAATTTTAGATATAACTTAATCTTAGAAAAAAACTGGCTGTTCTGCTATAATAAAATTTTAAAATCAGACTAAAAATAATTATTTTTATATACAACCAAAACAAGATTAAGAAATCTATTTTATTTATAATATATAAATCTAATACTTTAGCTAATTATATGTTGTACAATACCCGTGGCATGCGGCCGCCAGCCCCCCACTCCGACACTGCTATTGTTACTGATTCGTCAGGCTTCCAATCCGGGTTCTTATATTAGTATAAAGCTGACCCCTCTTTTTTAAAATATATATAAGTATTTAAAATCCTTAGAGGATTGGGAATTTCTAAGAATTAGTTTTATAATTAATAAAAAACTACTTCTAACTGCTTTTATCTTATCTAACCAATATATCTACTATATTAAGTAGTTTCTAACAATTTCTAATCCTTCTATTCTTCTAATTATCTAAAAAAAAGTAGTATATTTTTTACTAAATCTTTACTAAAATTTCCCCAGAGTACTTTATCTGCTTTAGAACAGAATTATTTTATATAAATAGATATTTAAAAAGTAGAAGCTACTATTTATTAATTAAAATAGTTAAAATATTTAAAAAAGTAGGTTTAAACCCTATAAACTAAATATAGAGCTATTAAACCCTTAGTAAGAACAA